TTCCTCTGATTCAGAGTCCTGAGGCTGGAGGGCTCCAAAGGCTGCTCTCTCTCCACGGCCTCTCCCTGTGACGTGGAGAAGGAGCCTCCCAGAGAGATCAGGCTCCCACTGGACGATAGAAGACCAATTAGGCTGCTGCAGGGGTATCGGGCAAGAAATGATGACAATGACAGTAGTGGTGGGGGGAGGAGGTGATGATAGCTCAGACTTGGAGAGCGCTTCAAGGTCTGCAAATTGTATTACAAACTGTATCCCATGTGAACCTCCCAACAGCCATGGGAAGTAGGGGCTGTGATTGTACCCGTTTTACAGATGAAGATCTCCACCGTGCCTGGGGGCCCTGGGAGTGGGGAGAGGGAAATAGAAGTGAGAAGGTTGGCCAAGGTAGAGCCGACAAGGGTAACCTGCATCTGTGGGGTGGGAGAGGGCAGGGTCTATGGGGATGACGTCCAGGTGGTAAAGCTGGGTGACTGAAAGGATGGTGATGCCCTTGAGGAAACAGGGAAATACAGAAGAAAAATGACTGGGGAGGACATGGATGGTTGCGCCCACACACGTACAGCGCAGACAGACTTTGGTGAAGACGTCTCTTTCCTCAATGAGTGTATTTCCTGGTAAGAAAAAACAGCTGCCATAGTGTATTTTGGGCCTGGAATCAGGAAGACCTGAGTTCAGATCCTGAATCAGAGACCTCCTATCTGTGTGACCAGGCAAAGCACTTAACCTGTCTGCCTCAGTTTCCTCATCTGTAAAGCAGAGATAATAGCATCTACCTCCCAAGACTGAAAAGCTCTTTGCAACCTTTAAAAGGTTAATAGGACCGGCTGAGAGACAACAGACTTCACTGAGGCTAGAAACAGGGGATTTCGGGGTGGCTAAGAGGGGAGACTTGCCTCCTCCTGGGAGATCTCCAGTGGCTATGATGGGCTTTCTAGAAATGACTGTAAAAGGGGTGTGGAGATGATAGATTGGGCAAAGGGGCTGTGGTAAGATAGCAGTTGATGAACCAAAGGGAAAAAACTTCCCATATCCCACTGGATTAGAAAAACAAAGATGAAGAGCTGATCGGGTCCAGCCCCTTCCTGTTACAGATGGGGAAACTGAGGTCCCAGAACATTAAGTGGCTCATCCAAGGTCCCCCAGGCAGTAAGCATCAGAGGCAGGCACGGCAGGATCGTGTCTCCCCCCACCGGGTCCTCATCCACACGACTCCCAGTCTGTATTGGTCAAGACCAGCTGATCCTGGAAATGTCTGAAGGCTGTGACCTCGCACTGACCTGCCCAATGGGGTTGCTTTTGCCCAAGGAGCAGCCCCCTCGGCCAGCCCTGTGGGACTAGAGTCAGCCCGGGTCCTCAGCTTTGTGCACTTTCTGAGTGCTTCTGGGTCACTTTCCACAAAACTAGGACAAGGGCTTTTTCTGGTGTCCAGAAGCCTTCCTGGGCCTGTGGTGGCTGGTAAAGAGCCGTTTAAGAAGGATCGCCGGGTAGGATCAGAGGTCAGACACCAGGCCCTCTGCTATTAAATTTCACCTTCCAAGCTGGGCAGGATCTCACATCCGCTAAGCCAAGAATGAGGGCAGCCTTAGCTAAGAGTGCCTGTGTTCAGGCTTCCAAGGTCAACACCAAATATCCAGCGATGCCTGGGAACACCGTCTACGTGACGTGACAGGAAGGCATCCACAGGAGCGGCTGATCAAACAGCTGCCAGTGACCACACGCTGCTGCACAGGGCCCCCTACCCTGAGCTTCCTGTTTACGTCATTGAATTCTAGCATAAAGAGAGCCCTCAGAAAACGTATGAAGGGGTGAGACGTCTGGCCCTGTGGAACACCGTGCTCCATCCTCATCACTCTAAAGTCCTGCTGGTCACATCGTGGCTTGTAGTGGATTTACAAAAATATAAATCTCCGAGATTAACAGAAGAGGAAATAGAATACTTAAATGACCCTATTTTAGAAAAAATAGAAAGAAAGAAAGAAAGAAAGAAAGAAAGAAAGAAAGAAAGAAAGAAAGAAAGAAAGAAAGAAAGAAAGAAAGAAAGAAAGAAAGAAAGAAAGAAAGAAAGAAAGAAAGAAATTGAATAAGCCACAAAAATTCCCTTGGGTTTGTCTTTGGCTTTTTGAAGTTCTGGCAAGCGGGCCAAGTGTCGGGACTCCCAGGCCACCTGGCCGAGCCACGCTTGGCCCTGCAACCAGCCCCCAGTGACCCGGTTTCATCGCCAACCAGAGAGCTGAGGACCCTGGACTCAGAGCAGCCAGATCCCCTGCTCCACTGCGTGAAGCAGCCTCTCAGCTCTGGCGAGGCTGGGCTCCCCTACCCACATAGGCCTCTTTCTGATACCGTGGGATTTTTCCAAGTTGTTCGTAGCCTGGGAAGCTATGACCTGACAGGATGGGGCAAATCATGGAAAAAAATGTACCATTTACCCTCTCCAGCTAGTGAGAATCATTCCAGGGCAGTCTGGTCCACAGGGAGGGAGGGTGGAGACGGAAATCACAAAGCATTCATTCACCCGGCTCCTCTCTTATAGGAAAAAGGGGATTGTTAAAATTCTCACCTTGTGTTCTCTGAAGATGAAATAGGGGGCTCTCTCCCAAATTGACTAATTTTGCCCAAGAGGTAACCCTATGCATTTTGGGGGGAACAGAAAAAATGGGGAGATGAGTGATGGAAATCCACACGCACATTTTTCAGAGGCCACATTTTGGGAGAAGAGGGAGACAGACCTCCCTAGAGAAGCTTGCGGCTTGACCGTCCATGTGGTTAGTTGGCTAAGGCCACACTTTGGTCAGCTTGTTAACTGGTCTTTAACCAGGGACGTGACAATTCCCGGCCCTGCAGCCTTAGTTCTACATGTATCTAAGGATTTGGTCTTGAACAGGAAGAACTGGGGCTGGGTTTGCCCTTCAGGTCACTTGCCATACAGGTGGACCTGGGCTCCCAGGAAGTTCTGTAGGAAGGGGTTCAGGGCATCTAGCAGAACCAGCAGTGGGATGCTGGGAGAAGAGTGGATGGGCTATCTGGGAATGTAACCATAGGAGCCAGGACAATCCTGAGGGTCTCACTGGGCTGTCATGCTTGTCTCAAGTTCACAAAGATGGAACCTGATCCAGTCATTGCTTGAGGATTCCCGGACTCTCCTAATAGTCGTTTTCCAAGCATTTTGTGTGGGACTGTCTTACCACCTCCCTGCCTCTTAAGTCCCGTGTTCCTGGTCACTGCACCTTTGGAAAACCAGGGCTTCCAGGCCTGGGAAAGGCGCAGAGAATGGAACCATGGGGACTGAGTTTATCCAGCCTTCTCCGAAGGGCACCGAGGCTGCTGGGAATGAGGCGTCATATGTGCCCATGTCAATGTTTATTTCCCAGGCCTCTGCTCCCTTTGGTCCCCCATCTCCCTGATACTGTGAGACCCTCATATTCCTTTTCCTGAGACCAGCTTCCTTTGGCTCTGGGCTCACTGCAGGGCCAGCCCTGCCTTCCATCTCCTCCACTGTGGGAAGTTTTCCCCCTGGCTCTGAAACAAACCCTGCCTCCTTTTGCACCGTCTCCCCCCTCCTCCCAGCAGCCATACCCCAGGGGAGTGGGTGTCTAATCAGAAACTTGCCCACTTTCATTTCCTTAGACTGTCAGGGGCTGGGCCAGGGCAGCCTCAGCTTCTTTCTTGGTACATAATAACAAAGGGGGGGCACTCTCTCCTCTCCTCACAGCCTACCTGCCAACAAGCAGAAGGGGAGAGGGTGCTAACAATGCCTGTGCTGGTCCAGTGAGCCCCATTAAGAGCCACTGACATTTAGGTTTGCAAAAGGGCTCACTGATGTCATCTCCTTGGCCAGACGCGCCCTCAGGTGTGGTCAGATGGTCATTCATTCCAGGGGTCAGAGGGTGTCACCAGGTTGGGGCCCAGGCCTTATTTGGAGAAAGTCGGCAGGCCGGCATCAGGAAGCCACTGGAGAATGATGGTGATTGTTGTGGGGTGTGAACTGGGGCCTCCCCCGGAGCTCGGCTTGACTTTCCCCCCAGGCCATCTCATCCTCACCTCCACTGTATCAGCTCTCTAAGGGGATGGGAGGAGGAGTAACGTCTTCAGGATCTCCTACTTTTATTTAATTTCCACCAGAGAACTACCCATCCTTTTAACGAAATAAATCGTGTGATCTCCACTGCCAGCCGGGATTATCCTAACAGTGCTGACACCTCCAATCTGCCCGATGTTAGACTGCCCCAACATCATGCCTCCATCACAGTCTTCCACAATCCGGGCCTCCCCACGTAAGCAGTGTCCTGCCCACACCACTCCCACCCCCAGTCCAAGGCACAGCTCCCGCTTTTCTTCCTGCACTGCCCTTCTTCCTGCTCACCCGCCAAAGGCAGAACAGTGGATGGAGCACTGGGCCTGGAGACAGGAAGACCTGGGTTCAAATCCTGCTGGTCAACTCACTAGCTATGTGACCTTGGGCAACTCACTTCACCTCTGTCTGCCTCAGTTGCTTCAGCTGTAAAGTAAGAGGAAATGGCAGCATCTGCCCCTCTGGATTAAACGTGCTATTTGTAAAGTGCTTTGTAAGTGTGACCCCAAGTTCCCTGAAGCTCACTGGCTCGCTTCTCTCTACACCCTGCTAGGGTGAGAGACAGTCCCCAGGCAAGGGCGAGTCTCCACAGGGGAGAGCTGAGGCAGGGATGGAGATGAGGGTGATGGAGGCGACTTCAGAGAAATCTGGGGAGATTGCACACGGATGCAGAGTGAAGGGAACAGAAGCAAGAGGTCACAGTGAAGACACACGCCTCAGAGAGTGGCCCATGATTCCCAAGGACCCAGCGGAAGCAGGCGCCGTCCCTCCTCCATCCGTCCTCCAGGCAGGGGGGGACGGCCTTGGCAGGGCAGAGGGGACACAGCCTTTGTGGGAATCAGTCTTTCTGTAATGGGAGTTTTGTTTTCTTGCTTTCTCAGGGTGTGTGTGGAGCGGGGGAGGGGAAGGCAGGAGGCAGAGAAGGCAGGTCTTTGTCTGAAATAAAATTTAATTTTTTTTAAGAGCTAGAGCTGGGTGAGTGGCATGTTTATTGTGCCATTTGCTTCCAAAGTCACATGATTTCAAAAGAACCAAGAATGCCCAGGTATGGCCCAGGCTTCCTGGGGCTGGATCCCCTCCCCAGGGTCTCCTTCCTCCCTTCTCCTGCACTGGGCACTCAATGGCCACTGGTTGGCCCAATCTTCCCCTTGGTGCACCTCCCAACCCCAGGAGGGAGCTCCAAGGAGCCTGCTCCACCTCAGTGCTGGTGGGATCGATGTCTGCAAGCTCTCTGGGGCCCCAGAGGGCTGAGCACTTCTCCAGCCCTTCCACAAAAAAGGATGAGCTGGATGCCAGATGTCTTACAGATGAGGAAACTGAAGCACCATGGGCTGCCGGGAGCAGCCACGTTCTTCCCTGAGGTTTGCTATCTGTGGAGGCTGATCACAGCAGCCAGGCAAATTTGGGATGAGGAGCCCAAGGCAGTGGGTAATGTCCACAAGGTCTAAGCTCACAAAAGCCCCCTTTCTACCCCAAAGGGCCAGCCCAGAGCTGGCACCAGGACCTGCCGGGGCAGCCCTGTTCTGGAGGAAGCAGCAACACACAGACAAAGCCCTTTTTAGTGAGAGAGCCCACCCACCCATGGCCTGGTGAGGCTGGGCAGGGCCACCCGCAGCCACGCCCTCCCCAGCCGCTCAGCTTTGGTAGCTCTTCAGCAGGTGTCCAGCAATCACCAGCCGCTGGATCTCACTGGTGCCCTCATAGATCTCAGTGATCCGGGCGTCCCGGTAATGGCGCTCGGCTGGCATCTCGGTCACATAGCCCATCCCGCCCAGGATCTGAATGGCCTGAAAGAGAAGGCAGGAGCCTTTGGGGCCACTGAGGAACAAGGCCCTGGGCAGCTGGGCCTCTCCCTGCAGGGAAGCTCACTCACCTGGTGGGAGATCCTCGTGGCGGCCTCCGATGCTGCCAGTTTAGCCATCGCAGACTCCTAACCAGGAAGACACAACCCTGAGTGAGGCGCGCCCGGCTCCCCACGGCTGACTACCCAGCAGAGTCTGTGCCAACACCACTGACCTCTCACTGACTCCCTCCATCAAGGGCCCTCCCTAGAACCCTGGGCACAATCTTACCCAGAATAACGGGGCCTTTCCCTCCCAGAAAACAAAGCCAAGCACCTTGGTGAAGGGCTTCCGGTTATCCTTGAGCATGGCAGCCCGCCAGGTCAGCAGCCGGGCACTCTCCAGGGCCAGGGCCATGTCTGCCAACTTGAACTGAAACACAGGCAGATGCCAAGCATGTGAGGGGCCTCTCCTTTCCCAGAGCCGGCACACCCATGGGTAGGAGAGCCCAGCCATCCGTGGCCCGCAGAGACAAGAGCAGGGTCAGCACACTGCTGTCCAAGCCCGGCAAACCTCGGCCTGTACCCATTACCTGGATGTTCTGCAGCTTGGTGAGAGGGGAGCCAAAGGCCACACGCTTCTCAGCGTAGTCCACGGCGCAGTCCAAGGAAGCTTGGGCAATGCCCAGGGCCTGGGCAGCGATGCCGATCCGGCCCATGTCCAGGGTTTGCTGTTAGGATGGCCCCAGAGTCAGTTCAACTGGCCTCCCCATCTCTGTCTCCACCACGGCACAGGCAGGACCAACCTGAGCCCCCTCCCCAGGCTCACCATGGCAATCTTGAAACCCATGCCCATCTCCCCCAGCATGTTGTCCTTGGGAATGCGACAGTCCTCAAAGATGAGGTTGGCCGTGGAGGAGGCTCGGATACCCAGCTTGTCTTCCTTCTTCCCCAGGGACAGCCCGGGTGTCGGCATGGGAACCAGGAAGGCCGTGATGCCCTAAGAGCACACACAAGGCCAAGAAGATACATACTCCAGAGCTATTTCCAGCCATTTGTCCAAGACCCATACAAATGGACCCATTTGTCCAAGCCAAGGACAGTCCTGCCAGGCCCAAGAGGGACCCCGGCTCTAGCCAGAACAAAGGCAAAGACTGGCAGGGTGAGCCTGCATCTCCAGGCTCAAAGAGAGCTCCAGGAAAGTCCTTGCCCGGGGCCTGCCATCCTCACCTTGTGTTTCAAGGGCTTGTCACTGGTGGCAAAGACCACAGCAGCTGAGGCTTCCCAGGCATTGGTGATCCAGGCTTTGGTGCCGTTCAGTACCCATGAATCCCCCTCCAATCTCGCGGTGGTGGAAGCGGCCCCAGCATCACTGCCATTCCCTGCCCCACAGGAAGATTCAGGGCTGAACAGAGAAAGACTCTGCCGGCCTCTAAATCACCCCCCTGCAGGGGGTGACCCCCAGCCCTGACCAGCATCACCTTCTCAGAGCTTTGCTAAGGAAAAGTCAGAAAGGAAGAGAAGATCCTGCAGGAGTCAGGATGCGACGCCCCCCCTGCCCCCTCCCCCCAGGACCAGCACCAAGCCCCTGGCCTCCTCATCAGAAGGGAGGCACAGGACGAGTCTGCCCCTCAGAAGCCACGCAACACAGTTCATCCTGCAGCCGCCCTCCCCAGGATTCCTACTGGCTTCTTAGGCATCCTCGGACGTAGCGGGGGCCCTTTCTTCAACGTTTTGGGGCTAGGTGTATAAGGTTACAAGCAGAAGGGCTCCCAGACCCTGCCCAGTACCTGGTTCACTGAGAGCAAAGCAGCCAATTTTGTCACCGCTGGTAAAGGGTGAGATCCACTGCTGCTTCTGGTCCCTGGATCCGAACTTCAGGATGGGCCCTAAATAGAGAGACTGGGGAATGGGAGAGAGAGGGTGTGGGCTGGCCGGCCTCTGCCCCTGCCCCTCAGCAGCCTGGCTGGCCAAACTGGAATCTGCCCGCTCTCCCGAGCCCACCAAGAGGCCAGGGGGCCCAAAGAGGCTCCACTTACATTGTTGACACTCATGATGACTCCGGTGGACGCACAACCCCGGCTGATCTCCTCCAGAGCGATGGCATAGGCCAGGTAGTCAAGCCCAGCACCGTTGAGTTCCTCAGGCACATCCATAGCCAGGAGCCCCAGCTTCCCCAGCTTCTGCACCTAATTTCAAGGAATCATAGAAATGGAGAATTAGAAGGAACCCAAGAGGTCACCAGGTCCAACCTGAACCTGGGCAAAAATCCCCTCTCCCACACGAGGCGGACAATGAGCTGTTACAGAATGTCAAAGGCCGCCCAGCCCTAACCAGATCCCCAGACCGCCAGATGCAGCCCAACCCGCTTCTGGGGGCTGTAGAAGCTTACAAGCAGCCTGACCTTCGACCCTCCGCTCCCGCATCTCCTCCCGGGTCAGGCAGAACAAAGCGCTCTCACCTCCCCAGGGCCAACCACTCTCCAAAGCTCCTGAGAAAAGGGAACACCAAGGCCTGCTTCCTCTGACCAGCCTCTGGTCTCGGCCCTTTACTGCCCTCCTCTGGACACACGGCTCACCGTGATCTTCCCCAGACTGCAGCCAGGCAGGCAGGGGAGCTCTGCCCAGGCCAGACACCGGCACCGATAAAATCCCCAAGCCATCTGCATGTGAACTGCCATCTTGCTAAGAGTGAAGCTGACTTTTTGACCCTAAAGTATGACTTCACGTTTGACCTACTAAATCTCATCTTACTGGACCCTGGCCAGCTTCTACGAACTCTGGATGCAAGTCAGTTACCAGTCTGTGAGCTGTTTCCCCCGATTTGTGTCACATGATTCTACGTTCGCAGGGCTGAGCACGGATCCCTGGGGCATCCCACTGGACACCTTCAAAGCTGACACAGAACCAATAATAACGCAGATCTGGATCCAGTCATTAAACCAACTGGACAAATCTCTGCAGCTTTACTATCTTCTAACCCACACCTCCCCATCTTTCCCACGAGGACAGCGTGGGATTTCCTCCTTTTACAGATGAAGAAAGTAATGTCTTGGAGGCCGTGTAACATGTCCCCAGGTCCACTGACACCAGGCTGCGACGCCGGCCCACCTCTGCCACCTGCCTGGCAGCCTCGCTATCTTCGGCTGAGGGAGGCAACAGCTCAGCCTTGGGAGCAGCCGTGGCCAGAAGAGGCCACCTACCCATCATGTGAAAGGCAGCAGCAGGGGCGAGGCTAGCATAGGCAGTGAAGCCCATGAGGAAAGAGCCTGTTGCTGACCCTTTCACAGTCAAGATGCTGAGCACAGCATGACCACAAAACCTGGTCATCTTCCTTCACCCTTCTTGGCACTGTGCTCCAAGGATCATTCTCTGTTTTGTTTCGTTTTTGGCAGTTGGGGTTAAGTGACTTGCCCAGGGTCACACAGCTAGTAAGTGTCAAGTGTTTGGTCTGAGGCTGGATTTGAACTCAGGTCCTCCTGACTTCAGGGCCAGTGCTCTATCCACTGCACCACCTAGCTGCCCCCAAGGATCATTCTCTGTAGCATAATTGCCACCCACCCTTCAGTTCCATCTTGTTATGCCCATTGTCTCCCATAGTTAGAATGTGTACTCCTTGAAAGCAGGGGCCATCTCTACTTTCTGCTTCTTATAATGCAAGACAAATAGTAAGTGCTTAATACATGCTTTTTAATTCATTCATTCATTCGTTTGTCTACCATCCTTAAACCCTGTCAAAAGAGTCGGGATGAGCTGTTCATGAAGAAGCCACACTTGCTCTCTGGATCACTGTGAGGTTCACTAGTCAACCCTTTGGTAACACGTCCTAGATGGTGCAGGGATTGAAGACAAATTTACCATTCCCAGAGCTTACGGACAAACACCCATTCTCTTCTCTTCCTGGGAAATCAAGACAGTATTGGCACTTCCCCATCATCCACACTTCTGGCCGACCTTTCCTTCTCATCACGAAGTACAGAGGAGGGCTAGCTTCCCTCCATCATGCCTGTCATTGCCACATGGCAACAAGCTCCTTCCTGGCTGATGAGAAGCATCAGTGGAAGGTTCTCACGGGGTCCTCCACATTTTAAAAAATGCCATTATATTATAGTACATCATAGTATAGTATAGCAGAAATTACGCAGCATCTGCTTTGGGCAGAAAGAGCACTTCAGCCTAAGCTTCTATCCCCCAAGGCCCTGCTTCCTCGGGTCTCTGTTCCAGCCCTATTCTCTGCATCCTGAATTCAAAATTCACTGACTGCTTTCTTTTTCCTGTGCCACAGTTCTCAAACACCTGATTTTTGTTGCTTTTGTTATTGATATAATTAGGTCAGTAGTTTTCCTAACAGTGAACCAGTCTTGCATTCCTTTTACAAATTCCACTTGGTCACAATGTATAATCTTTGGATATATTGCTCTAGTTTCCTAGCTAAGTATTTTACTTACAATTTTTGCATCAATTTTCATTAGTGAAATTGTCTATAATTTTCTTTCTCCATTTCTGCTCTTCCTCATTTAGGTATCAACAGCAAATTTTTTCTAAAAGAAGTTTAGCAGGACTCCTTCTTTGCCTGTATGATTTACTTACTATTGGAATGAGGTGATCTTTAAATGTTTGGTAGACTTCACTTGTAAATCCATGTGGTCCTGATGCTTTTTCTGAGGAAGCTCATTTATGGCCTACCCAATTTCTTTTTCTAAAATAGGTTTATTAGGGGTGGCTAGGTGGCACAGTAGATAGAGCTCCAGTCTTGGAGTCAGGAGGACCTGAGTTCAAATGTGACCTCAGACATCTGACACTTACTAGCTGTGTGACCCTGGGCAAGTCACTTATCCCCAGTTGCCTCACCAAGAAAGCAAAAAGAAAAAAAGAAAAAAACAAACAAAAAACCCCTACAAAATAGGTTTATTTAGATATTCTATTTCCTCTTCTGTTAATCTGGGCAGGTTATGTTTTTATAAGTAGTCTTCACTTTCATTTAAATTGTTAATTTTTTTAAAAAAAAATTTATTTTTCAGTGAGGCAATTGTTAAATTTATTGGCATATAACTGGGCAATAATTGCTTTAATATCATCTTCATTAGTAGTGTATTCACCCTTTTAGTTTTTGAGACTACTGATTTAGTTTTCTTCTCTTTTTAAAAATCATATTAACTGGGGCAGCTAGGTGGCGCAGTGGATAGAGCACTGGCCCTGAAGTCAGGAGGACCCGAGTTCAAATCCAGAATCAGACCAAACACTTGAATTTACCAGCTGTGTGACCCTGAGCAAGTCACTTAATCCCAATTGCCTAAAAAAAAAAATCATATTAACCAATGGTTCATCTACTTCATTGTTTTTTCTTTTTCATAAAATGAGCTCCTAGTTTTATTTACTAAGTCAATGGTTTTCTAATACTCATTTTTATTAATTTCATCTTTAATTTTCAAGATTTCCAATTTGGTGTTTAATTAGGGATTTTTTTTAGTTTTTAAAATTACATACCCAATTCATTAATCTGCTCTTTCTCTATTTTATTTATACAAACTTTTAAAATATACATTTTCCTCTGATTACTGCTTTTGCTGTATCCCATAAGTTTTAATATGTTGTCTCATTATCATCCTCTTTAATAAATTTGTTTCTATGATTTGATCTTTGACCCACAAATTCTTTAAGATTAGATTATTTAGTTTCCAATTAATTTTTAATCTGTTTCCATGGTCCTTTATTATTATTTATTTTATTTGTTATTATGTATTAATTTTTATTGCGTTATGATCTGAAAAGGACACATGTAATATTTCTGCTTTTCTACATCTGACTATAAGATTTTTATGCCCTAATATAAGGTTAGTTTTTGTAAAGGTTCCACATACTGCTGAGAAAATGGTACACTGCTTTTCTATCCCCATTCAATTCTCTACAGAGGTCTGCCATATCTACCTTATTCTCTAAGATTCTTTTCATCTCTTTACTTCTTCCTTATTTATTTTTTGGTTAGACTTACCCAGTTCCAAGAGGGGAAAAGTTGGCCCCCCACTGCTATGGTTTCGCTATCTCTTTCCGCCTCTAATTCATCCACTTTTTCCTTTATAAGTCTGGATGCCATTACATGTGTTTAGTACATATGTGTTTAGTATAACATGACTTCATTATCTAAGGTGTTTTTTTGAACATAATGTAGTTTTCCTGATCATCACTTTTAATTAAAACTATTTTAGCTTTCACTTTGTCTGAGCTCATGATTACTACCCCTGCTTTTTTCACATCAGCTGAAGCAAAATAAATTCTACCCCAGACTTTTATTTTTACTCTACATGTGTCTCTCATTTTTAAATGTGTTTCTTGTAAACAGTATATTGTGGAGTCCTGGTTTTTGATCCATTCTGCTATCCATTTCCATTTTATGGATGAGCTCATCCTATTCACATTTAAAGTTATAATTACTACTTGTGTATCTCCCTGCATCCTATTTCCCTCCATTGTTTCTCCTTCTCTCTCTTTTTACCCTATCCCTCCTCAGAAGTCTAGTTTACTTCTGATCACTAAAAGGGTCCCTTCCCTTATCCTGTTCCCATGCCCTCCTATTTCTCTGTAATTTAAGAAGACTTGTATATCCAAATAAATGTAGTATATTATTTCCTTTTTAACCTAGTTCCAATGAGAATAAGGTTACCACATTGCCCAACCTCCATTCCATCCTCCCTCCATTGTAAAAGTTCTAGTCACACCTTTTTTGTATGAGATAATTTGCTCCATTTTACCTCTCCCTACCCAGTTTTATTTTTTAGGATCACCATATCATAATCAACTCAAACCCAAGCCCTCTATCTATGTATACTCTTTAGCTACCTTAATAATGATAATATTATTAAGAGTTACAATTATTGGGGCAGCTAGGTGGCACGATGGATAGAGTACCAGCCTAGCATCAGGAGGACCTGAGTTCACATCCAGCCTTAGATACTAAACACTTAGTAGCTGTGTGGCCCTGGGCAAGTCACTTAACCCCGACTGCCTCACCAAAAGAAGCAAAAAAAAAAATTACAATTATTTTCCCATTAAGACAGTAAATAGCTTAACCATATTAAATCCCTTATGATTAGCCTTTCAGGTTTACCTTCCTATTTGCTCCTGATACTTGTATCTGAAAATCACCCTTTCTATTCAGCTCTGATCTGTCCCTCAAGAATGTTAGGAAGCCC